CAATGTTTCAATAGACATAGGAAGGTTGTATTTATAACCAAGTTCTAAATACAATGAGGTTCCAACTGTAATTTCTATTATTGGCTGATAATTCCTGTTTCACACTGTACTTTTTAAAGGAACACCAAATTTCTGTAAGAAAGCTAATTTCAAGGAATAATGATAACGTTTGCACTAGAATTATGATTTTTTTAAATTACTACTAGTTACTGATACTTATAAAAGCGATACGCTGACACCTCAGTGAAATTGGTTGACAACATTGTTTTCGTTTTTGAGTTATCATGTAATTATAAAAGAAGAACAAGAAATTCAAACTTTTTGCTATGATATTTACAGGCATTCCCAGAACTCGTGACTTAGTCATTACATAGATATTGTTATGAAAAGAAACACCGTTTAGTATTGTAAAGTTCTGATAACCTATTGAGGAGATATTTGAATTACCATTCGATTAACAATCCGAGCTATCCCTAGCATAAGCAGTACTGCCATCTGTCTGATTATTATTAAGAATTTCTAACTAATGGCAATGACGAGAAACTACAAACTTTGCAAGAAATACAAAAAATATTTCTTGAGAGATGCCTAATAATAATAATAATAAATATTACGTCTACATTTTTTTTAAATCACATTAATTCGTGCATTAATGTTAGTCCTGAGTGATGTAAGTAATTTTGTATGGAATGATATAGTTGTATTAAGGTAACATACTGCAAATTTTGAAAATATTCTATACTATTAGTCTGCTCCAGTAAAGTTGTTATTTAAAAAGTACCAGCTACTGTATTAAGATATTTCGGTCCATAGTGGCATTTAATATCGTTAATAATTTTCATAAGGTATACTGAGAAAGTTGAATTCAGGAAACTTTGTTTCGTTATAAGGTTTTGAGACTAGTTTTAAAGTGCACTTTAAGTTATTTCAATGCCACATAAGTTACCATTGTGTTATAGCTTTGCTTGTTTGTTTGTAGTTAAGCCAAATGCTATACAATAGGGTATCGAAACTCTATTTTTTAGCTTTATGAGACTTACCACCAAGTCATTGGGGGCGTATTATAGGGTATCGAAACTCTATTGTTTAGCTTTATGAGACTTACCACCAAGTCATTGGGGACGTACTATAGGGTATCGAAACTCTATTGTTTAGCTTTATGAGACTTACCACCAAGTCATTGGGGGCGTATTATAGGGTATCGAAACTCTATTTTTTAGCTTTATGAGACTTACCACCAAGTCATTGGGGGCGTACTATAGGGTATCGAAACTCTGTTGTTTAGCTTTATGAGAATTACCACCAAGTCATTGGGGGCGTATTATAGTGTTTACCATGCAGAATGTGGATCACATGTTTGACACAAGGGATTTATATTTTCATTTTGCTTGTCGCGATAGTAGATGCGTGTAAAGCTATCGAAACAACTGAAACAACACTATATTATGAACTGGTGCTTGGTTATTACCCGGTGAACATAGTGTACTAACCACTATATTATGAACTGGTGCCTGGTTATTATAGGGTGAACATAGTATACTACTATATTATGAGCAGTGCTTGGTCATTACAGGGTGAACATAGTGTATACTGTATACTGACGTTGCGTTTTCTTAAAGGAAACCGTATACTATTCTACTGTAAACTTGTGTCAGGTTATTACAGGGTGAATATAGTTTACTGTCGTATTTTAATAGGAGAACTTGTATCTATACGCGAGATCGCCTAGCGTTACAAGAAAACAATCAAACATAATATAATTATGATAAGCATAATTATAAGGAGGCATGTAAATACTCTGTTTGAAATTTATTTTCGTGATTATTTAACACATTTTTATTACCTGGCGATGTGTTTAAACAACTTTTTTGCAAAAGATTTTCCATTAAAGACCCAAACATCAATTTGTCTCATGTTTTGTAGGTGAATTATTACGATCTTTTCTGTAGTCTTTTCTAGCTATTTGTGCGTGAAATAGCGCAGAATTCGCCTTACCTATAGTAATCCAAACACGTGATATTGGTGTGAAGAAACTCTGCCTTCTTCACCTTTGTTTTACTGACTCATATATATTTATATATAACGATTTGTTTTAACCTGTATCGCACTTTGTCTTATTGTTATATATATATATATATATATGTATATTTAAACATTTGCTGTACTTTTACTTCCAATATTTGTAATACATTGCACCTTTGTTTTTCTTGCTCCAATCATTCTCCTTCTTACAAAATTATTTCTTCACACTTTATATCAGATCGTTCTGCTTCAAAAACTTTCTATGCTTTTGTTACTAAACAGCTTTCTATTGATCAATAGCAACGAAATAGTCACGTCGCACGTGAAGAGGGATTAAGAATGTTCCTCTAGAGGCAATATATTACAAATATTGGAAGTAAAAGTACAGCAAATGTTTACATATACATATACAACAATAAGACAAAGTACGATACAGGTTAAAACAAATCGTTTTATATATACGAGTCGGTAAAACAAAGGTGCAATACCTTACAAATGTAATACACATTAGAAAGTTTATTTGCTGTTAAGTGCAAAGTTACACAATGGGCTATCTGTGCTGTTCCCACCACGGGTATCGAAACACGGTTTTTAGCGTTATCAGTCTTTAGACTTACCACTGAGCTACTGGGGAGCCGCAGTAGAAAGAATTATTGTGTATACAGAAAGAACACCAGTAAAAACAAGCAAGATGCAACGCCTTGCACGTAAAATGCTGCAGCAGCAAAAGGTTATACAGAAAATAGTCTTTCACCCTCCCAACTTTCTAAACTTTCAAAGCATAATAGAAACTTAGTATTAATTAGTAGTTGACCGAAAGAAAAAAAAATGTTTAATGTTTAGTTTACAACATGCATGTGCCCTAAAATTAAATGTTACCATTTTCTCTTCCCAGGAATAGAAAAGTTTGGCAGACACAAAAAACATAGAACGAGTTGTTAACTCATGAACGGAAACAAGTTCGTCATCAAGTATTTTAATGTATTTAAAGTTTCTTTTGTAGTGAAATATATTAAAATAGCGAAGATTGCGCAAATCACAAAATTCTATTAGAAAAAAACAGGGCTCTTCGGTTCACTGAAGATAAATTAACAAACAGTATCAGAACTGTAAATCATAACTTAGAATATCGCATTGTACGTGAGGAAAACCCACTTTTTTCAAAATTATAAAAAAAAATGGATAGGTATGTTTTGCTTATACAATTTCTGATACACACGTACTTTTTCTCAAAATTTGAAGTTATGCTAACTACAATTAGTAACAAATGTTTTGAGCAGTAACTGTTCAATGTTATTCAAGTTCAAACTAAACCGAAAGTACGAAGTCGTTTGTACAATTTCGAACAAAATCTGCGTATTTAGAAACGTATTTTGATCTTGATTACGTATATTTTCTCGTCTCACTCTTAGGCTATAAGTTTACCATTTGTTGTAGAACACTCACAGAGTTGAGTATGTCATATTAAAATGATTTTGAATATGGAAGTCAAAGTCACATGACAAACATAACAGATATAAACGATATGAAGTTGCGACGGAACAGCGTGCATCAGAACAACATTGTTAGGAGTTGCGTAGATGGTCTGATGTCACCGAAAATCGATCGCTTTTAGAAGGGTTGGTAACAGCCCATTCCGATGCAAATTACCCATACCTCAGATCATTAGGATGTGTTCAGATCACAGATTTTAAAGGTGAGGATCTCTCTTATACTTTATGGCATTGGAAAACAAGGGAATATGTATCATCTTGGATAATTAGTACCACCCAGAAAGATACCTGCAACAAGTCATAACCCAGCTGTGGTAAGCAAGAGCAGAGTCTTGTAACAGGTGAAAATCCACGAACATAATAGTAAGTGGCAAAATCCGTCCACATGACCTAGGAAACAGTACACAAAGTAATCAAGAATGATCTGCGTCTGAAAAAAGCAACACAAATCATGTGTTCAGAAGCTGCTTCAACAACTATGGTGGATTATAAAACTGTAGACTAGGTTAATATCCAAACCCGTGATATTGGTGTGAAGAAGCTCTGCCTTTCTCCTATTGAGGAACATTTTTAATCCCCCTTCACGTGCTACTTATGTTGTTTCTATAATAACAAGCTTAATGAAAACCGAGGTGAAAATCATATTTGATAAAGGTGTTAATAAGGAAATATATTAATTAAAATAATTAATTATGTTTTTTCTTATAGTTCCGTACTGTATTGTTGGAGTCAAATATGAAGCTTTATCTCAAGCTTTATAAATTTCATGTAAGAATTTCTGTTTTCTCTAGTATTGTTTGTTATCATAGATTTGTTTAACGTGTTTTATCCATTTTTTTTTCAGTGATAAACGGTGAAAAAGCAGCTTTCAACACCCCAACTTTTGCCCAGAAACGAGAGCGAACTCTGGATATGCTGATAAAGGACTTGTATACAGAACACATGGCTGATAATCGTGGGGTAAGTGCATATATATTTGGCTACTTTCCATGTGGATTCGAAGTTGTGATTATGGTCCTGTATGTGAAGCAACGACATCTAAGAGCTAATATACGGGAGGGGGGGGGTATTCGTATGAAGTACAAAGTGAAAGCATAAAACTGGTGCATTATTTTCAGGTTCTACTCGTCTTTTTTTTTGGGGGGGGGGAGGTAGGAGTAAACACCTCGCACGCGCACACACAGAGTTAGCGTAGGTGGTTAGCCCATCCCCATTTGACGCTGAAGATAAAAATTGGCTTTATAACTTTCAACGTTATTACATTAATATGTTTGACACAGGGAGCGTATTATGCGAATTTTAACACGAAAACTTTATAATTACCTTTGAAGTGACTGTAACTAGCTTTTTTTGTTACACAATAAAAGTCTTGCACGCGTGCGTCTGTTCTTCGGTGACCGCCCTCACCAGATTACATTGAGTATGTGAGTTTTATACTCACCTAATAATTTCTTTATAGCGTTGACTGAGCTCTAATTTCATAATTTAAGTTTTAAGTCTTTCTCTTCTAGTATAGGACAAGTATTTTTTTTAACTTGTCGATTAACTGGTTATGAAGTAGTTAGTACGCCGAAAAGTTGTTTACCTTAGTTTCAAAATGATTTTTCTTAGCAGGCTTTTGGAATGTGTCCAGATATCAGATATTTCATTATTTCGTTCTGTTCTCAGTTATAGTGGTATAGTGCTGCCGGAGCACCGCTCTTGTACCATCAGAAATTGGAGCTGAATTCCGACACTACAGCAATGAGAAATATGTATATAAAAATAATTTATTCATTTCAACCAGAAATTAAGTGTCTTACATTTTCAAATCCTCAGAGTGTGAAAGAACATCAGATATGTCTAATCCATTGTGCTCATGGTAGAGCTCTTTTAAATCCTCAAACCGCCCGCATGCACTCTATCACTCACCCTAAGGAGCTGGCGTCAGACACCGTGCGACAGTTATGGCTCAATAGCAAATTTCAGAACGTTAAAATGATTAAATGTATTCTTTTCATACGTCACGTGGTTACAGAAACCCACGACTATGATATTAAAACACTTAATAAAAGAAACCTTAAAATTACTGGGTGTTTAAAATTTACATATTTTTAAAGGGCTTATTGTTTACATTATGTGACATGATTTGTGCAAAACATTATAAAGTTGTTAATACTTATTGCAGAG